TCCAGAGAACACGAGTTCACATCCCAGCACCCGCAACAGGTGGTTCACAATCACTCCAGCTCCGGGGAATCCAACAACCTCTTCTGGACTCCAAGGGCACGCACACAGCCACATCCATACACATAAATGAAAAATGAACATTTGCCAGTAAAAAAAAAAAAAAAAGAAGCAGAGATAGGTTGAGTGTCTGCGTTAAGAGTTGCTGTAGCTCTCAGCAACCCTGGTTGGAGTCTAGTCCTGGGGGCATTACATACTGACTGGAGACTCTGCAAGAGAGCCCTTGTCTCTTTCTGCAAAAGTTCCCCCACTTCATAGGATGAGCAGAAACAGGCTGGCTCAGTTGCCAACAATAATGAACACAATAAACGTCCTATTTTGCTGTTACAAAATAGCATCCACTTCAGAAGAGATGCTCTGGGAAAGACGAGATCAGCAGAAACCTTGCTTCTTTGTTGCTCTGATCCATCTGCATCATTTCCTTCGCAATGGTGTCAGACTTGAGGTGTCTACGTGTTTACTCATCTGAAAACAAGTGCAGGGCTATAACGAACGATTATTGGTCATACTCCTGAACTTAAAAGAGCATCATCAACAATAACAATTTAAAAACCAAACAAAAACTTTTCTGATGGTTTCCACCGGAAACCTTAAAACTCTGCTTCTTCATCTTGACCGACCTTCCTGTCTCAGTAAAGGTTCTCATGAGACTCTTGGGAGAACAGAGTCAAACACACTTGGGAGGGAGCTGAGCACTGGCTTCTGGAGGGAGGATGTTGTTTATATTTTAGATCCTGTTTTCATCCTGGATGAAGTGCCGCCGCTGCTACCAGGTGGTTCTCCTTGTGTTATCAGCTTCTCCTCAAGGCTCGGGCTGCGGGAAGCAGCTTCCTGCAGCCTCCATGTGAAACTGGATTCTCGAGAACTGGAGAGCGAGCGCCTGCCAAAGGTTATCTTCCACGAGGTCACAGTTTCCATGGTACCAAGGTTGATCCTGGTTGGTAAGGTCATTTGAGTGATGGGCCACAGGTCACGGATAGAACCAGAACTGTGGCTGAAAGGGAAATGGGGAAGGGAAAAAAATAGCCTGAGCTGAGCACCTGAGACCGGAAAGGAATTCCCAGTCACAGGTTGCAGAAACCAATTAAAGTGACTCTGAACGCGGTAAACAAATGACACTCCATACAGTGACTTCTAAATTGCTTAGTGCGTATCTGGTGGTCATGTTGCTCCCCACAACAACACACTTCGATACCCAGGGTACATTACTTTTGACTCAGATTCCAAAAGAAAACACGGTCACTCCCTCCAATAAATACTCAATGCCCCAGACAGACACAGGGGACCAATTTTACTCCAAGATTCAATGACAACTGATTAGGTAATCAGAATATGAAGATACTTAATTATGCACCTACACTCCCTGGCTCGGTGCTTCCATGACACACAGCCCAGAAGACATTCCAGGTTTGCCCTGCTTGCTCCCACCTTGGGGAGGCCAGCAAGCAGGGCAGAGCTCACAGGAGTATGAGGGGAGGTAAGCTGGAAGTCCTGCCAAATTCCTAGCACATGCCTTTAAAAAAAAAATGCAGCCTTCCTCAGAGGCCAAGTACCTAAGGAAATGCTTTGCGTTACCAAGGTTGTATCCTCTGAGTTGTTAGTTATTGACGGTAAAGCAAAGGTTTGACTTAGGAATTGGGAAAATATCACCAGTTATACTTCCTCTAAGCCAGGCTCAGCCACTTCCTCTTTGCTACTCATGACTTCCTTCCGGCCTCAGGGGTCTGCAAGAACAACACTGAAGTGTCCCAAGCAGACTGTGGGAGCCAATCTCAGGCATCATCATAGCCAAGAGCACCGCCTGAACAGTGTTTCCCCAACCAGAGGGGAAAACCAGGTAGCAGAGAGTGCAGTGAAGAGATTAGATTTCCTAGAATTAATTTTGGGAGTAGTTTTTATAGATTTCAGAAAATAGACTTTCAGAAAACACGAAGAATTGATTTTAAACTGAATTGGATTTCCTGGACTCACATTAGAATCTTTCCGAAATCCCTAAGGGTGATTACTTTTCAGTACTAGGAAAAAAAATAAGAAATTTTGAGATTAAAAGGGAATTTGGACCCCTTTCTGCTAAACTGGAACTGAAATGCAATAATAAAGACATTTCAGAAACTCGAAAGTAATTTAAAAAAAAATAATTAAAAGACAAGTAAGCCCTACTGTTCCATACAACAGACGTATTCTTTTGACTTGGGGGTGCTTTCCAAAAATAGTTGAGTGCCTAAAATCTACAGGCACAGTGTTCAAAGCTATACAGAAATATTTAGTCGAGAGCCTATCCCCAGAATTTCAAGTCTGTCTTAAGAAGTCATTGCATTGCTCACTGTTAAAGTTGCAGGTTACAAACACACACAAATATGTACACATGAACACACAAGTCACATCCACCGACACACACACACACACACACAAGCAAAAGTTAGCCTAAAGCTTTTCAGGCATCAAGATTACATTGTATAATCCACAAAGTTAAATTTTAAAGTGGAAATGGAAGAAAGAATGAGAGGGGAGGGACAGCTTCTTTTTAAAAATTGTCACTAATACTGGGTAGGTGGCAAAGTAAATGAAGTGCTTACCAGATGAGCATGCGGGTTGGGGCTTGATCAGAGAGAATCCACACCAAAACGTCAGCACAGTAGTACACAGCAGCAACCCTAGCTCTGTGGAAGTGGACTTAGGAGGGTCTTTGGGATTCGCTGACCAGCCAGACCAGTAAAATCAGAAACTCCAGATTCAGTGAGAGGCCCTGTCTCAAAATATTAAGTGAAGTGTGATGGAGAAGGACCGCAGACTTTGACCTCTCGCCTCCACACATAGAAACACACACATACCCCCACACACAAACATGTTCACATATATACACAGACACACACACACACACACACACACACACACAAATTGTAACTGATAAATGCCGAGAATAAAAAGAGTCTTAAAACTCACTTTGGCACCTCCAAAATTAAGTAAAAATAATAATTACAGAAGTAGATTACAATGGATGCTAGAACCACTGTGGAAAATCTGAAGAGCAACAAAAGAATAATCATATAAACTCAAAGCAATTTTCTTGCATGATACTTATTTATAAAAGGGGAAATACAAATACGGCAGTGTACAGTGAGAAACAAGAACATTATATGCCACCCCAAGCAAACAGATGAAAACTAACATAACCAATAATGAAACAAAGAGATGTACTCCTTGGTAGGATGTGTACACCATATGCCTGAAATGCGTGTGTAAATCTAAACATAAAACAACCTTAACTGAGATATAATGTGTAAACTAATCTGCATGTATCCAAAATGTCAAGGTAACGAGCAATAAAAAATAGCTGAAGAATTATTTTATAGTATAATAGACATAACAAGCGTAATATGTGATTCAGATGTCAAGCTAGAATTTATTTTTCTCTTTTGCAATAGATGATATTACTGGGGAAAAATAATAAAATTCTATAAGATTTAGATTTATTGAATAGATAGGGATTGAAAACATTTTCTCTAGATCGGTTAGCAAATCTTTTCAGCTCTGCAGACCAAGAAGTGTTTGTCAAAGCCATTTAATTCTGCTATTATAAGAAAAGGCCATCACAGACAACCTGTAAACAAAAGCACCTGGCTGTGTACTAATAAAACTTTATTTACAAACAGGCAAGAAGCAGTCATAGACAAACAGTCATAAACACAGCATAGTTATACCTCAATAAATTTCTATTTACAAACACAGATGGTAAGCCACGTATATTTGCCAACTGCTGGACTAAATGCTACTATTAAATGAATGTTAATTACCAAATTTGTTAACTGGACTGAGTTTTTTTTTTTTTTTTAGAAAACATGTACAAGAGCATTTGGGGACAAAAGATGTTCTATTTGCTACTTCCAAAGATTTCAGAGGAAGAGAAGACAAATAAATGTTTATAAAATTCAAATATCCCTGAAGGATATTGCTGTTTTATTTGTCTTTAAGTCTGACAAAATTACCCCCCAAAAAAGAATTGCACAAGTCAAAGCAAACAAATATCCATGAGTTGTGGTAATTGTTTGGGACATACTCACTATTAGCGTTACTACCAGACATGCAGGAAGTTCTCAGGGACAGTCTCATTAGCAAAGTCGTTCATCTGGCAATTCGTTTATTAGGTGTTTACTGAAGGTTATGGCACCCAGAAAAAATCACACTTTACAAAGCTGAGGACATGAATTGTGGAAGAAAACCCATTTCCTTTGTCCACAAGGAGGAGTGTAGGAGAAGCGGACTGAAGTAACAAGACAAAAGTAAGAATTTCTCTGGGAGAAAATGGGACGACCGCCTCTGGGCTGGCTGCCGTGCACAGACCAACTTATGCAAAATTGATTTCTACTTTCTCACAGGCAAAAAATTTAAATAATGTCACAGGAGCAAAATTTTATTTTTATATATGTTCTCCACTATGAGCTGTGTGCAAACTGCATAACTCTACAGGGAAATTGCATCGACAGTTTCTCCTTTTCACTCATGGCCTTGGGGAAGTCTAGGACTTTCAGTATCTTCAGGGATAAACACAAAGAACTGCCAAAGCTTTTCTAGGTAAGCAGGTAAGTAGATAGATAGATAGATAGATAGATAGATAGATAGATAGATAGATAACTGATAGA